CCAACCAATTTTTTCTTTCAACTTTTAACATGAATAGTTTCTATGAGATTATCATAGGCAACATAAAATTAATAAAAATAAAATAAAATAAAAAAGAAAGAAAGAATTCTCTGTTGGCTTTTGAACATGGATAAATTTGTAGATAATGTGTTTTACATGGCATATTGTTTTCTCATTAAATTTATCACTCAGTTAATTATCATTTATTTGTACTAAATTAATATCTGTAAGACAGATATTTGTCATGTAATTCTTCATTTTTTTCCATGTGAATTGAGTTTGGTTGCAGTTTTTCTTTAGTGCATTAATGTGGATTAGACTTTGGTTATGTTAGGCAGTAAAAAGTATTTTGATTGAAAAGTTGCATTGATGTTATTTTGAAATATACAAAGTATATGTATATATATTTTATCCTTTTACCTGTTCATAGATGAGTGGTTCAAGGATGAAGGTTGCTGGAAGATTTAAACCCTGTGCTCATATGGGGTGTTTTGATCTTGATGTTTTTGTGGAGCTGAACCAACGTTCTAGAAAGGCAAGTAAACTGAATCTGTTAAATTAGTTTCATTTTCTTATTTCTTTTTCATTTTTTCCCCTTTCATGTCCTTATATATTCATTTTGTTAATTTTGACAAGCATTGGTCTTTGACTGCAGTGGCAGTGCCCTATTTGTCTCAAGAACTACTCATTGGAAAATGTAATTATTGATCCTTATTTCAATCGGATTGCATCTAAGGTAGTGCACTTTTTTGGACCTTCCGTGTTTATGTTTTGCTGAGATGCATTTTATATATATGGTTTACTTTTGTGGTCTAGATGAGGGACTGTGGGGAAGACATAGCTGAAATTGAGGTGAAGCCTGATGGTTCCTGGCGTGTAAAAACGAAAAGTGAAAGTGAGCGGAGGGAAGTTGGGGATCTTGCGCTCTGGCACTTTCCGGATGGCTCTCTTTGTGCCCCTGTTGAGGAAGTTAAACCAAAAGTGGAAACATTGAAGCATGTTAAACAAGAAGGTGTTTCAGATGGTCATATTGGTTTGAAACTTGGAATCAGGAAGAATCGCAATGGTTTGTGGGAAGTAAGCAAACCTGAAGATATAAACACTTCTTCTGGTAATAGATTGTCGGAAAAGTTAGAGAATCATGAGCCAAAAGTTATCCCAATGAGCAGCAGTGGCACTGGAAGCGGTAGGGATGATGAAGATCCAAGTGTAAATCAGGATGGTGGTGGTACTTTTGATTTTACTAACAATGGAATTGAGCTTGATTCTAGGTCATTGAATGTTGATCCAACATATGGATTTGCTGACCAAAATCTGTCTGCACCAGTTGCAAATGCAGAAGTTATTGTTCTTAGTGATTCAGAAGATGAAAATGACCTACTAATATCGTCTGGGAACGTGTACGGGGATAATCAAACTGATGTTGGTGGGGTTAATTTTCCAGTGCCCCCTACTGGAATTGTTGATAACTTTTCTGAAACTATGGGTACTATAGGTACTGGTGGGAATTCCTGCTTGGGTCTCTTTGCTGCCAATGAAGATGACTTTGGAATGCCCCTCTGGTCATTACCTTCTGGAGGCCAAGGTCCCCCAGGTTTTCAGCTGTTCACTTCGGATGCAGATGTCCCGGATGCCTTGGTGGGTTTACAGCATGGCCCCATCAACTGTCCGACACAGATGAATGGCTATGCATTGGCTCCGGACACTGCAATGGGGCCTTCATCTTTGGTCTCAGATTCTGCTATTGTTCAGCCTACTCCTGACCTCAGTGACGGTCTAGTTGACAATCCCTTGGCATTCGATAGGGAAGATCCCTCTCTTCAAATATTTCTTCCAACAAGGCCTTCAGATGTGTCAGTGCAGTCTGATTTGAGAGATCAAGCTGATATGTCAAATGGTATCCGCACTGAGGATTGGATCTCTCTTAGGCTTGGGGGCAGTGCCAGTGGCGGTCACAGTGAACCACCAGCTGCTAATGGATTAAATGCAAGGCAGCCAGTACAGTCTAGAGAAGGTGCCATGGATTCTTTGGCTGACACTGGTTTGTTCCCTTGTTCTTTTAAGAGCTACAATATTGTTTAAATTTTAGATATGATCATTACAGATTAAGTGAGGAAGCTTCTTGCTGGTTGCTTTCCACAAGCATGAGTGTATTTATTTAGGTTCTGTGTTACTGTTGTCAGTGCTGAAACTTGGTCTGTTAGTTTGGTGTAATTCTGTTTGGTGGTGTTATGAACTTAATTTTCAACCCTTTCCCCTATATATAATCATGATTCTCATTTTAGGGTTGGGATACAGCTAGGAATTTCGAGCCATCTTTGTGGCAGGGATTGTCCAGGTGTAGTTTGTCAAAGCATTCCTAGGATTACTGCAGAGTCATTATACTGTATCGTCCCTCACTCGTGAATTCTTTTTTTTTTTTCGGCTCCCTTAATCTTTGTCTGGCATGTTTCATTTTCTGCAGCTTCTTTACTTCTCGGTATGAATGATGGAAGATCTGAGAAGCCAAGCAGGCAAAGGTCAGATAGCCCTTTCATGTTCCCTCGCCAAAAACGTTCTGTAAGACCGCGGTTGTATCTTTCTATCGACTCAGACTCTGAATAGAAAATTTTGGTTCTTGTATCCAAAAAATTTATAGCACTCGTGCTTGAACCTTTCTTGGAGGTAGAAGGCTCCTTATGGGAGGTTTGTTGATCAGCCCTTAATGATTTGAAAGAAAGTTGACAAATATTTGGTCCTTGTAAAAGGCTCAATGCAAGTGTGAGAAATACACAGCAGAACTAAGTATGCAAGAAAATTATCTCTTAAAAATTTGTTGCCAGCGCCTGCAGAAATTTTCCTTTAATGGAGAGTTATAGGCCCTATCATCTGATGCTGTTTGTTTTAAAAGAAGCCCTTTCCCCTTGGTTGTTTTCAGAGAGCTGCAGGTCCATTGCTGGTAAATTGTACAGAAGAGAGTCATTTAATCAGAAAGTTGATTATTCCTTTGGTTTAAACCTTTGGATTTAGTGGGGGGTCCCCCCCCTTAGGTAAACACAAAATGCCTTTTTGTCTCTGTTTTATGATGAGAGCAAATAGCCTGTAAATGTTTACTCAGATTCAATTATTTATAGAGAAATAAATTTTCCCATTGAATAGTATGGCCAAGAATTGTCTATTTTACTATTTTGCTTCTGGTGTCTCTCACCACTATGCTTGATTGCTGGAATTTATATATTCAGTCAGAATTTGTGGATAGAGTTGGTGTTGGGGGCACTTTTTATGTCGTATCATATGGGCAGAAGGCAAAAATCTCAACAATGATCATGGAAGGTTAAATGTTGATATTTGTCAGCGTTGATGATGTGTGTACTCTCAACTCTGATTCTTAATGGTTGAGGAGTTGAAGGTGATGATCTTCTGGCACAAATCATTGAACTTGAATTTTGCTTATGTGGGCAAGTCATCTTTTGTATTATTACTATAGTTTAGTCTAACTTGTGTGTGTTTTTTTGTAACATATATTTTCTCAAAGTTATGAAGGTGCCATCCCCCACTTGCTGGCTGATATCACCTGCAGGTAATTCTTGGTATTTACTTCTGCCAGGTTGAGTTGAGTAGTGGGTAAATACTATGTTATCCGGCTGGTTATGTTGGCAAGCGGTTCTGATGTTTCCAGAAAAATAAAAATGTTTAGGAGGGTCAAACATACTTTCATTATCATCCTTAGGATCGGGATGAGCTGAACAGATATCTTAGATTGTCTTACATAATCTCTGAAAGGTACCAGAAATCTTGGGATATTTCTGACGCTTAAGATGGTTGATTTTAAATGGAAGTTGCACTGGGAGTGCCGTGGGATAAAGAAAAGAAAAGCTCAGAGGAATAGTTGCGTTACCGTGTGAATTATTTCATTCGGATTTCTTTCAGTTTTATGGGTGAAATGGTTACTCCTCTTTTCTGTTGGCCTATAATTTATTGGCCAGGGGTCGTGGTGATGTTAGATGAACGATTGGCCTTGTTGGAAGAAGAAAATCGGGTTTATCTTCAAATGGCAAATACAATAAAAAAGCAGACTAATCTCAAGTTTAAACCCTCATAGTGGGTTGTAGAAAGGGTCAGGCAGTGCAAGACAATCGTTGCCAGGTGCATGAAAAGCTGTTGATTAGTTTGGAGTAGGTTTCTCCAGGCTCAATAAAAGCCGCATTCAAAACTGTTGGTATCTACTTAAAATGTTTTGTTTGATTAGTTTGCAGTAGATTACTCCAGACTCTAGGAAAGCTCCAACACAAAAACGTTTTGACAGTTTGATTAGGAACGTAAATTTGAAAATGTAGCATTCCAGTTTCCCGAATTCAAGCTAGGGAAAACAATTTAGTACATGTAAAGCGCACGGTTTAGATCAACAAGAGAATTGTCTTGTAATTTTAAGGGATTGAAACGGAAGAGGAAATTTTCTCTTGAATAAATAACAGAAATGGAGGACAAGAAGACGCGTAGGCCGTAGGGAAATCCATACCGTAAGCCTATTCAGGTCACTTCAAATTTAGGCGTATGAAAATCAAGTTCTTAAGTTCTTATTCTGGAAACTTCTCATCTTCATTCACGTTCTGGAAAGTTGCTCGAGAAAGTTCTCCAAATTTTCTGTTTATAATCTGGTCTACAAAGTTGCCGGGGAAGGTTCTCCAAATTTGCAGTTTATAGTCCACTGTGTTTGCATGTTGGAATCAAGTACCGCACTTTACATCTTTTCTATTAATTTCTAGTGGGGAAAAATTTGGACACGGTTGACGGGTACAGACATTTTGAATGTTAATCCTCCGACGTAAGACATCATCGGCGGGACAATGAAAGTCGCTTAGCTATTTAACTCCTGGAAAACGACCAGCCATTTTGATTCAGATATTCATAACATTAATCAACACTACTAGAAAAAAAGGTAAAGAACGAGACAATCTTGAATTCACCAATGTCCAACTCATTTCTCAAAGGCCAGCACTATCAAGACTTCCAAATTTCTATCTCGTGGTTCAGTCAAAAACCCTGAGCCACAACAATTCTCCTAAAATCCAATTCAATTCCTTTTGATTATAACATTACAACAGAGTAAGACATTAATGTGACTTCTTCACATGCACTCGATTGCTACACCAGCATGCCCGATCAAACTAATAACGATCTAGATGTTTCAGATAAACACTGAGCATATAGAATGAACCTGAGTTCTGTAGGAGCTTTGGTTTGGAAGAATTGTTGGAATGGTGGGACAAAATCCAACACAATGCAAGTTTATCATTCTTCACCAGCAGCAACGGGCTTCAAGTGCCTAAAGCTCTCGCAACCTGGGCAATTATGCAAGCTTTCATGAATATAAATGTCACACTCAAGGCAGAAGTACTTCTTGCATTTTGGGCAGGCAACACAAAGGCCAGGTTTATTTCCTGCGACAAAACCAAATGGGTACTTAGAGCAAGAGAAGAACGAAATCTGTATCATATGGACATAGGATTCCACTCACTAACTATTGAAATAAAAGAGGAAAAAAGATGCACATTTCTTTGGTTTTCTCTCTCTCTCTTTTCCCCTGTTTTAACAAAAAAAGAAAAAAACAAAATATGACTCGGTTGAATAGAGTTTACTCGTGATTGGCTTAGTATAACATACCCTACTGCCACTGCATCTCTTCTACCACATAAGGTTAGCATATTCTCCAGATGATTTAAGCAGGTACCCTAGCTAGGAAGTTTGCCAAAAATGATTGTCTTCATCTCGGTTTAACTTGAAGTTCAGAAAGAGGGAGAGGGAGTGTGAGAAATTAAAGCTTGGTTAGATGGCTAACTCCTGTTCTCATCAACCTGCATTAAGCTTCAAGAAGGCACTGGCAGGTATGCTGACTCAGAGATGCCCAAACAAAAAGACTGAAAGAGAATAGGGTGTTTGTATATAAAAGTAGCATTCTTTGAAAACATTATTTACCAGCTTGTGTAAATTTAAATCACCAAATGCAATTTCATTATTGCTAATCAAAGTCAATCAAATGCCAAGTGATTCAGGAATTGCAATACTTTCATATATTGTTTTTCCACATAACTAGTGCTTACCAAGATTCAGAAGAGTCTGCTGACAACCAAAACAAGTTTTTTGTGATCTGATATGCGGATCATTCAGATTTGATGGAGGCACCTCATCAAATGGTGCAATTGGAAATAGATGATGATAAGACCTTGCCAAATGGGGTGAGGAAACAAGTTGCAACCCACAAATCCGACATTCAGTAGGTAGCTCACAGACACGTGCTTTGCATCTTGGACAAGTATACCCCACACCAACTTTAGCTTCTTTATGACACGAACAAATTGAGGTAGAGCTCTCCGCTGCTCTCTGTGGGAAACCCATCTTGATCAAATTGGCAATTGCAAATTCTGCTATTGCAGGAGGTGGAGGTGCATGCTCTAGTATTAACTCCTTAAAGTGAGACTGCATATTAATGAGACAACGTAAATCAAACTAATCATGAAAAAAACTTATTTCAATTAGCAAGTAAGAAATGTTATTACATGTGCTAATTGAGCAACTCCAACAAATTTTAAGCACAGAAGACAAGTATCTCCATTTGTGCTTGCTTATTTATATTAAGTGATTCTCATAGTGGCAATTCCATCAACATGGAATAATATTATGTTCCAATTCCTAGACAGTTTAAATTAAATTAAATTCCTCTTGGTCTGTAAGCACCAATTAGTTAGTCAAACTCACCTCATCCAAGGCTACAGAGTATGATCCACCAGTTTCGTGGCAAAGATGTTTGCATACAAACATTTCTGCAGAGAGGCCAATAACTGAACATCTTATTTTAGATTTCTTACATTGCTGAATGGTCTCCATTATATTTCCCGGATCACAAGTACTGAGAGCTGAATATAAGATCAGAACTTCACGATGACCATATGATGGAATTTGATTGAGAAGTGCTTGTGTGAGATCCAAGGCATTTTGTAGGGAAGCATCACCTGAGCATTCCAACTTACCCATCAAAGCTTTTATATGTGACTCAGGGCTCCCACCAAGATCAGTTAAGCAATGAGCAACCCCATCCTTTATGGTCACCAGCCCAATTTGACTGAGAGGATTCTGGTCAAAAAACTCCCTAACAAAAGCCTCTACATTTTTTGCAACCACAGCCATTCGACTTGGTCGAAAATCCATCTCAGAAGCTGCCTAAATGCATTAAAAGAAACAAAGGATTAGCAGTTCATCACTCTAACTATGACAACTGTATAACTTTTGAACCATGTCCTTCATTATTAATCAAAGATAACTTCTAAATAATATGCCTGTTTTCTAGTGTCTCAAGCATTTATCTTTTCACTACTGTTACACATGCTTTTCAAGTTTTGTCAATGTCAAACTCAGAAAGTCTCCGTAAAACATGATATCTATTTGATGCATAATCAGATAATCTCAGTTCCCAAAAACTTAAAATGCACATTCTTCTGAAACTAGAACCACTCAGACCAAAAGAGAACTATAAAATACAAATTATAAGAAATCATCCGATAAAATTAACAAAACATTTATGTGCTCTCCACAAAGAGCACTTCTTGCCTAAATCTGTCCTTGAATCTCTGTATGCAAAGTGCTAAAAGCTGTGGAAAAAAAAAAAAAAGAACTATCCAATAACAAAACTCTTTACCCTGTATGAAAACAACCCATGATAAAAAGTTTCAAACTTGAAGCCTTTAAAGAACACAAAATTCAAACTTGATCAAACCGTTAAAAGAATTCAAAAGTGATACACGTGATCAATATTCAAGTTGAACAGTGGAAAGCATACCCGAGAAAGATCGATAACAATGTAGAGATATCGAATGAGACCCTTTTGAATTCGAGAAGCGTTGGCAGAAAGAGAACGGGCACGAAGGCGGCGACGATACTGAGCATGATAAATTGCTGAGTTGTCAATGGGTCTAAGCAGCCCCGACTCGTCCTCTTGTAAAGCCTCCCATGATCTATCATCTGCGTAACTTCTTTCCCACGCTTCGAGGCCTCCATTCAAATCATCCTCATCTTCATCATCTTCTTCTGCTTCTCCGTTCAATCGCCTTCCCTCCCTGTTCTTCATCTTCCCCTAAACCCAACTGCTTCTTCAATATGTTTTGTGCTAATTTAGTGAAATAGCCTACACAACTAAAACTTTTCAAATCTAGCCTATTTAGGCTCTGAAAGACCTAAATGCCACTAAATGCTACACATTTTAAATTATTTTGGGCTAATCTCAGAAAGTACCCTTGGATTTTCAGAAATTATCAGATAGATGTAAATTTGGGGAAATCAGTCAGAAACTACCCTTACAAGGTCACCCCTCCAATTGACACTGTTTCATTTTCTCTCACAGTTGTGTTGAAATAATTATTTTTGTCCCTATATTTGTATATATGATTAATTATATTTCATAATGAGAAAGTTTAAAAACTGAAATTAAATATATGGACCAACGAGTAATTGTGTTCGGTAATTTTTATCTCTCAACTCTAAACATTCATCCCATGTAAAAAGGTGTGTAAAAGAGTTATTTTATGTCCATTAACTAAGTATTGTATACCCCTAAATTATCATTTACTCCCTTAAAATTATCATTTATCCCCTTGAGATTATCATTTAACCCCAAAAAGAGTATCAAAACAATCCCTATTAGAGGTATATAAATATAACACTTTCCAAAAACCTCAGAGGCATCTACTTCAATAACATTATAGAGTGCGTTTGGTGTAGTATTTTGGATAGGATTTTGAGGATAATATTGGATTGTTGGATAGGGGAATATTACGACGTAAATTTGAAAAATTTATGAAAAAGCCCTTAGGTTTACTAATTTAATTAAAGACCCTACTATATAAAATGACAAAAACACCCCCACCACCTGCAGTGTCAGATTCCGACCGCAACCGAAGGAATCTGGCCGAAAAATTTCGTCACGGCACAGACCGATCGGATCTGTGCCGTAACGCATCATTATGGCCTTTTCCGGCCAGATCTACGGCCAGCGACGGCCAGATCGGTGTAATTCTGGTCATTTATGATCGGAATTTAGGCCGTTGTACAGATTCCGGCTATCACCGGCGGTGGTTGTCGAAATCTGACAAGTTGGGTTGATGGGGGGTTTTTTGTTAATTTTTAAAAAAAAAAATCAGAGGGCATTTAGTGAAATTAATAACCTTATGGGGTCTAAAAGTTATTAAAAAAATAGAGTAATATTTCTGGAATAGTGTGCCAAACATTATTTGGAGAATAGAATTAGAAATATGGATAAAAATAGGGAGCCAATCGCACCCATAATTTACCTGATTTTTTGAGTTTATAAGGTGTTTAATAAACTTCGAGAATTAATTGAGATACACACAAATTAACCTAAACATCTCGAATACCCCAAAAAAAAAAAAAAAAAAAAAAAAAAAAAAAAAGTTTATTACGCTTGTGCAAGTCGTTGACTTCAGTTAAAACAGAGAGTAACTTGAAGGTGGAGCAACAATTTAAGTACTGTTTTAAGTATAGTGATAAACCTCCAACATAGACGTTACGAGGGCAGAAGCTATTTTCCTTCAATGTGTATAAATGCATCATACTTCTGAATTAACCAAACAATAATAGTGGGCAATGTATGTAATACAATGGCAACAGCTTTAAGGCTTTAAGCCATTCAATTTCTTTCTTTGGGAAAATGGGGCATGAAACTTAAAAAGTGTTGCAAAGAAATGAAATGCTACCAAAATTTTGCCTAATTTTCTTTTCCCACTAATAATCTCACATCTATATAGTTTACACCCATCTTTTCATACTAGAATCCCCTAACACAAATAATCTTATCTTGGACAAACCAGAATTTTGAACACTAATCTTAAATAAAACAGGTTTCAACTGGTCCAAAAAATTATCTGCAGGCAGCTTGACGAGATTAGCATGGAGGAGTCAGTGAATCTTGCCAAATGTACTCAGTCTTCATTTTCTGATTCAAAAACTGGGAGGATGCTTAAGGCTGAAGAACCAAGATGCATGCCTCGAACTATGCCTCCATATCCAACCTTAATCCTGTGACACAGAAGCAATATAGAATCCCATAGTGCTGTTCGTCCCTGAAAGTAAGGACCAAAAATGCTGGTTATTTTATTAAATTACTCTATATACCATTGCCATGGACCATATGAAACATTGACAAAATTAAGAACCATCATATGTGTGAAAACACACATTATGTGAAGACAAAACATTACAATTATACCAGTGAGGCATCTACATTAATTTGCTCTAATGGACGGCATACAAGAAAGCACACAATTAATGAAGTCAATGTGGTCTTAAATAAGGTTTTCATCATTCTTGTTATTTAAGATTCATCTTTATTGATATAAGGTTGGCTACAGTTCTGATTATATCTTGTCCTGTTACTTCCTACATTCATTCACTCTGTGGTCGTTATGTGTGCATATCAGGGTCAATGCCCTCTTTGACGCTGATTGCTGATATTGTCACAGACTGTTTATTCACAGGAAAAGATCACTTTAACTCCCCTTGTTTTATTATCTACTGGTTCTTTTTAGGGTCTGTTTCGTGCAACTTTCGTCCTCCCCTACTCACATCATCAAACATACTTTAATAAACAAATCCCATAAACTACACACCTGAAGAGGAAACTGTAGCTTCTTATCCCAGTACAAGGCAAAGATCGGTGAGCTTTGCTTTCCAACAACCAACACACAAGCTCCTGGGTGAAGAGTGGAAGGAACACCAGATATCACAGCAATGTACTTCTCAGGGAACCTGTCTTTTGGAGGCAGAACCCCCCAGAACAGTGGATTCTTGCTAGACTGTGCTCCAGCATAAGAGGTAGGATCCACGTGTAGCATCCACTTTGGGTGCTCTAAGAAGGCACAGAATAGATACAGGAGCAAGTGGGAGTCAGTTGGAAGCTCAAGAGTCCACTTCTTATTCTTTTTGTCATAGACCTCCCCGCTTCCAAGGTATTCATAATTCTTCAAGCAGGTTCCTTCAGCAAGCTCTGGAAAATTAAACAAGCACATACAGAAAGCTCAAGGTTAAAATTCTATGGCAGTAACTGGTGGTCATAAATTCAATTACAGATGATCTATGAAATTAACAAGAGGTGATTAGTATACGGTAAAAAATAAAATCAAAGTACCTCGAATCCTTTGCACTGTATAGTCAGCTCGAATACTACTTTGTGGAAGCAAACCTTTAACCCACTCTCCTTTCATCAATGCGTGAAGCCTCTGATGTTCAGTGATGGCATCCACACATTCCTGCATGACAGGGATCATATGATTTTGCTGAGGAGACTGCTGCAGATTGGCTAAAGTAAACTTTGCTGCATGTCATAAGAGTAACAACAAGAATCCTCAGCAAACTTCCACAACCAACATGATCAGCAAATGTAAATTAGAAAAGTAGTGTAGGAGCAACTTACGCACGGAAGCATCAAGAGTCTGTACAAGACTAGCACGTAACTGATGAAGAAGGTTATCCTCATCAAGAGTAAATGCTGGTTGCCATTCCTTAGTCCTATCAATCGGAGAGACTGTAGCAGGACTTCCACTTGTTGGTAAATCACTTCCAACAGGATTAATTGTGATGGAAATCCCAAGTTTAGCAGCTGCATTCATAACCTACAAACATGGAAGTAGAACAATTAGACACTTAACAGTAAAAAATATGTGGAAGTGGATGCCAATGATTATATCAAAATGAAGAGATCTCCTACAGCAACAACTGTTGAAGAACAAGAATGAAAGTTTGAAAAATCAAGAAGAGCTGAAGAACATGCATAAAAGTTTGAAAAAAAAAATTAACAGAATTTTGAATTTTGATTAAGTTCAAAACTATAACAACTTATGAACTCACATGTCTGAAAAAATAACATTGAGGAGGCTTCAAAGAGAATTTCAGTTGAAAACATAGCCAAGACATTCAATAGTATGAAGAGGAGGAGATGACAATGATTAGTTACCAAACCTGAATATGACTGGTTTCAAGCTTGTTGAGCAGAGGATTTAGCAAAACTGAAGAAAACCATTGCCTGAGGCGGTCACGCCACAGCTCAATTTGAGGATAGATGCCCAAATTCTCAAAAGCTTCAATAGCCTCTTCCATGGACATGGGAGGAGGAAAATCACCCTCTCCTTTCTTTGGAGGAGTAGTAAATTTCTGTGAACCAGGAGACATCCGCACAGGTCTCAAAGGCGTGCTCCTCGTAGTTCCTGATGTATTAGCTGAACTTGCAACAGTAGGACTGGCTATGCCAAAACCATTCACAGTAGGCGGAGGAGTTGCCAATTTGCCAGCTGATTCATTGATTTTCTCGCTTACCTCCGCCAAGAAATTTTCAAGTTCTTCTTCTGTTGTTATCTCCCTCGTGTAGGAGGATCGCTTACTTGACCAAGGGGTTGAAAGCACTTGGTCCCGACCTGGAGAAGTTTGAACAGCAGGTAATGGTGAACTAGCGGCAGGGACAAGATATAGAGAAGATGGGGAACTCTGTAATTTGGATGTAGTGCTGAAAGAATTCATCCTATTCCCACCACTGGTGTTTGATTTATCAGAACTGAGTCGGGGTTTCCGATTTGAACTGGAAATTGGCTGATGCAGTGGAACAAGGACATCTGGAGATGACAAGTGGGATCTGGACTTGGGGGGTTTCTTTGAAGATTCAGATACAACTTGTTCAACCTTTGGCTTTATTCCCAAAAGGCCTAATTGCTGGTTTGTTAGATTTGGTTGATCCTTGGTTCCTTTGCTTGCTCTACGTAGAGAGATGAATTTGAGAAGGGCAGATAAACTTCCAATGAAAATTAAACCAATCATAGTTTGTACTGCCTTCGCAAAGAAATCTGAAACACAAGATAACATTCAGATACCGCCACGAAAAGCAAACAAGTTAATTCAAAGAATCTATGACATTCCGTTAAAAATAGATGACTTACAAGCTGCAGCTTGGGATAACTTCCCGAACCTCAGTTTTGCAATCAACCCATTCTCCCTTAATTTATTTAAAACAATATATTAGTCAACTGATTAAATTCAGATTAAAGCAACCTCAACCAATAGATACAAACATAAAACTTACATCAATTTTAACCAAAAAAAAAAAAGGAA